GGGAGGGAGTCGAAGAACAACAAAAGGCAGGAGGTTAAGCCAGGCGGACACAGCCCCGGGAGGGAGGGGGGGAGTGGGGGGGGGGGGTAGGAGGAGGGCAATTGGGGGTTAGAGAGGGAAGGTGAGAGACTGGACTCAGTACATTAAGTCTACACCTCCCCCCCTCAACAAAGACACTGCCAGGACCTGCCCAAGTCTCTGCCCCCGGACTTCCTGACTTTTATTTTGTTTCCAATCCCTCTTCAGGAAAGGGGGCAATTGTGGGGGGGGGGGGGGAGGGGGGGGTGGAGTAGGAGGAGGGCAATTGGGGGTTAAAGAGGGAAGGTGAGAGACTGGAGTCAGTACATTAAGTCTACACCTTCCCCCCCGCCAACAAAGACACTGCCAGGACCTGCCCAAGTCTCTGCCCCCGGACTTCCTGACTTTTATTTTGTTTCCAATCCCTCTTCAGGAAAGGGGGCAAGTGGGGGGTAGGAGGAGGGCAATTGGGGGTTAAAGAGGGAAGGTGAGAGACTGGAGTCTAAACCACCCTCCACTGACACTGCCAGGACCTACCCATGTCTCTGTCCCACTTCCAGACTTTTATTTGTTTCAGATCCCTCAGGCTGGTGCGTCCTGCGTCATGCGCATGCGCAAAACCCATCCGCGTGAGCAACGGCGGTACCGGGTCCCACTTTGAGACGATTTTTTTTTTGCCCCCCCTCTCCCTACCCCACGAGCAGCGGCTTATCCTCCCGCCGGCTCCCGTTCCCGATTCCCACCCCCGACCTCCTCTCACCCGGGCGTTGCGGATATTCATTTTCTCCCCGCTATGTCTCTCACTCTCTCCCTCGCGGACCGTCCTCCGGCCTCCAGCCACCAGGGGATCACCTGACCTATCCCCATTGGTCGAATGATCGGCCCCGCCCCCTTTCTCCCCATGCCGACCAATCGCACATCGGCGTTTTCGGCCATTGGTGCACGCCGTCGGGGCGGGTGCGACCAATCAAACGCTACCTCCGCCCCCTCACCCCCTTGATTGATGGAGGCCGTACCCACTCGCAGACGGTGAGGCTGACCGACAGTTCGGGCTAGCCAATGGGGCGCCGTATGTTGCAGGGAACCAATCCCAAGCGTCCGCCCGCCACTGCGCGCAGATTGTCAGCGCTTCTGACCAATGATCAATGGAATTGGTTGAGTGACGGTGGAACTAGCCAATGGACCGCCGCGAACTGATGGGGAGGCGGTAGCTTCTGACGATACAATCTGGAGCTAAAGGTACCGCCCCCTTCCATGCCGATTGTCGGCGCTTCTGACCAATCACAGGTGGCGATCACGGATTGATGGGCATGACTGACCAATGGAATATCGGGAGATGTTGGGGGCTGAGGCAGTTTCGGACTGGGAACCAATCCCAAGATTCTGCCGCACCCTTCCATTCTGATTGTCAGCGCTTCCGACCAATCACCGACGGACATGGATGATTGATAGCTTGAATTGGCCACTGCAAATTTGTGGGCGGTGACGGGCTGGGACAGGGAACCAATCCCAAATCTCCGCCCCCAAACTGTCATGATTGACAGCACGGCTCCGCCAATTGCTCACTGGTGCTGACGTGGTTGATGGTTGAGCGCGATCAATAGAGCGACGGGGAGGGGGCGGGTTCAGAGCGGAAAACTGAACCGACACTTCTGCCCGCCACTCACCGGAACCGCCTCCAGGCCAATCGGAACGGCGTCAGGCTGTGATCGACAGCACATGACGCCAATGAGAGGGAGGAAAATGTGATTGACGTACCAAATAGACCGGTGAAATTCGCAGACGTCCTCTGGCCTCCTGACAAATCCGCTGGGAGCGTGTACCACTCTATCCCCGCCCCTCCCGCTCTTAAAGGGATCTTCCTGATCCTGGTCCAAATTAGGGAGTAATAGTATCGGAATG